TAATGGATTATAGACGGCAAAGCATCTTAATCCCTTAAATGTGGTTTAGCGGCAGTTGTGTATCACCGGCACTACACCGGCAGGGAACATTAACGGCAGCATATTGCTGCCGGTCACGTTGACAAAAAGGAAGCCATACAAATGTGCGCATGCGCATAGCTAGCCGTGTCAACTTCAGCGGCAGGCAACGTCAGCGGCGGATCACCGGCTTCAATCAAAATGCGGCATGTGCACCAAGACCAGCGAGACAATTGAAAACGCCCTCGTACATCAGAGGACAGTGATTAGTTTTGTTGGGACAACAAATTCGACGCCGAAATGAAAGTTATAGCTACTAAATATTATAATTTCACAATTTATGAATTCCAAGTTAACAAAATACATTATTTAGTTATATCTACATTTGAATGCATCATTTGGTATAACTTCATTTTCGATTGTTGTCAACTCTGTAATGTGTGAAAATAAGTATTAATAAAAATAAAGTGTACGTATGTGAACTTTATAAAACGCTACAGCGTTGCGTTCCCATGATGCATCTCACTCATTGTATGCCCATCTTCTTGTTGTGGAAGACAAAACAATGTTGTTGACTGGGAGCTAATTCTTCGGACATTACAAGTAAAATGTTCCATCTGTCTATTCAGGTCTATTAATTTCAAGTAGAAATCTTTGAAGTAAAACAGTAATTGCAATTGACCTCTGAATTCTGACGTTGTCAACTTCAAGTTGAATAGAATAAATACAGAGTTCACCAAATAAAATTAATAATATCATCCTAATTGGAACTTATACAGCTAGAATATACAAGTTGTTCAGTTATATGGGTAGGGAGAAGTCAATGAGGAAGTATCATTGTACTTTGTTTTGTTTTAGTACGCTTTGATGTGCGTTGTCCATTAAGCAATTGTAGAATTCATAGATATGAGAAAGTTTAGTTGTAGATTAGGTTTCCGACATATAGATATTTATACTGGATAAAGACATGGTGCAATCACAGTCCCTCTATGGACTTTAGAGGGACTGTGGTGCAATGTCTGAAATAAAACATCGATATCTTGAAAACATGGAAAATGTACTATTAATAAACAGTTAATCCATCTGTGCTACACAGCGACATCATTTTCGCACAGAGTCATGTAGAAGTAGCGCGTTTGATTTCCGTGGTAACTTGCCCGTTATTGCAAGACCAAGTCGGAGGAGCGTACTAGTATTTGGCTGTCGGCCCCTTGCACATCTTCTGTCTTTTCTTTGCACGGAATTCAGCTAAATTTCCGCAAGAGTGGGCATCGGGTGTTGTGAATCCTATATTTAAACACTGAAACAGGAAACTACTACATTATTAAATTTTACGGCATTCTTAAATGAAACGTTTTGAATATGGACGTAATATTATGTTGTGTTATCCGATTTCAATCTGGTTTTCGAAAAAATCTCAGTACTATAGATAATATGTTTGTTTTGTATGCTATTGTGCATAAGTATTTGGCAAAAATGGGTGGTAAATGTCTCTTCGTGGATATCTTCAAAGCATTCGACGGGATAAACAATTCATATGAATTATTAACAATTGGTATCCATGCTAATATGTTTTGTATATCGCGTTCTATGTACAGTAATGATGTTAAGCCCTGTGTTAAACCTGAAACAAATTTGTCAAGTTCTTTTGACTGTCCGTTAAGGCCAGACATGGATGTATGTTAGTTTCTTTATTGAAGAATTAAATTTGATGTTGGTTAATTCGGGAAATTTAGGGATTCAACTAACACAGGACATTTATAATCTGTGCGCTTTACTTTATGAAGATGATGAAACCATTTTTAGTGACTCAATTCCAAACATGCAGAATTTAACTTATATTGGTGGTGTATGAAAGTTAATTTACAAAAAACTAAAGTTATTTTTTTTTCGTAAGGTTGGTCACGCATCACAAAACGACAGAGAAGTGGTTATAAGTGATAGAGGGACTGTGCTTGGGGAAAGCGAGTTAAAAGTTGTTTTTTAATATAAGAATATATGTCTCGTGCTTTCTTCAAGGAATATTTGGTCTAAAGCAGTTTCTACTTTAGAGGACCAGCCTGGGAAAACGCTTATTAGGATTTTTTCATCGTTATCTGTTAAATTTAATGGGGTTCATTTTGACACCCATTTCAAATTATTTGATTCAATTATATCTCCTATTCTGTGTTACTGATCTGAGATTTCGGGATTCCAATACTATGACCATATTAAAAAGTACACAGGAAATGGCGATTCCCTGCCAAAATAACTATAGAATGTGGACGTCTTCCAATTTTTGTTTCCACTCTTAAACCATTGAGGTATGTTTATACCCCCATGCTTAAACGTTGTATTAAGTTTTGGCTTAGACTCTTAGAACTTGGAAAGCAAATGCGATGCGACTCTAAAACCTAAATTACGTTAATTACATTAACTTCAGAAGTGCCTTCGTTACAATCGGAAATATTTATCTGAAACCCGTCCGCATTTTTGCATGTTTTACCACTTGGAATTGAAGAAGGTCGGCGTGAATGTATGTAAAGTCTGTCGTGCTAATTTTGTCGAAGATGATATTATTTTCTGTTGATTTGTTAAGCCTACAACACGCTAAGAGTACCCCCAACATTATTCATATCAACCAACTGTTGATAAATTTTGAAGGCTTGTACAATGAACAAAAAATTATATTCTACGAAATATTTTTATGTTTGTGTTCAAGGCAATTGAAGCCAGGACACAAATGTTGACAAGTTGATCATTATTTAATTCCGAGTGATTGAGAACCGAGAATAGAACCGTATTCTACTTGTACCGGTTACATTTTACGTATTGTTTTGAAGTGTTTGTAGAGGGGAGGCAAGGGGGGTAGCTGGTACGGTTTTACGGGAAATAAAAAGGGTTTTTTACAATTTACAAGGAAAAAAAGACGTTTTTACAGTTTACAGTGTTAACAAATGGAACATTGAATGGTCCGAACAGCTCTCCGACTCAAATTCTCCGCCATTGCTGCGCCGTGAGATGCACGCGCATATTACCCTCGTAATGCTCTTCATTCGGTTAGAGGGCCTTTTACGTCTTGACATTCAATTTTGTAGTGAATTTT